TGATTAGACTAATTCCAAGAACTAATTCAATGCTGGTGTTTAGGCAAAACAAGAGCTGAATTCGGGGGTTCACGAAAATGAGCTCGAGTTCTGCATTCACGCATGTTCAGTTGGACATAGGTGGAGGGGGGGGGGGCATAGGGCTAATCTTTGTTGCATTCTGCTTGGATGTTAGGACTTTAAACTTTTTGCCAACCACTGGGTTTTCCATTAAACCACTAAAAGTTAAGTTTTTAGCAGGGGAGCAGAAAGCAACCGAGTAATGAGGGGGGTCCTTTCTCCCAGGACCCAACCAATCGGGGACCCCAAACGAGTCACAATCGAAACCCGGGCAAGCGAAGGTTAGTGAGGGCCAATCCCGACCATAAATAGCTGCGGTCCTTTACATTTTGTTTTGGGTCGACCGTTTGAATGCCAGGTTTTGATTGTGACTCAGATGGGCTTCCCACATCGCATGGGAAGCGCAGGATGGAGATGCGAGTCCCTGGTCTTCTTGGCGCCACGCCCAGCCTTTCGACGCTTAGGAACCCAAAAGGAGCAGCACCGAGGGCAATTTGTGTCGTGTCTGCCAGCTGAAAGCCACACAGTCGATGGGCCCAAAGAAGCTCCGTGGTTTGGGGCAGCCTTCAGAGTTCAAGGAGGTTCCGAGTCTGTTGGGGACGGAATCAAAATGACCCCGACATATTTTGGGTAGCGACCCCATCAAGGGTCATGGAGACTCAGGTAGAGGCTACCCGCGGAGGGTCGATTCAAGTACTGCACAGACAACGGTTTTGTGTTTAGTTCAAGACGATTTGTCGATCACAGATTCCTCAGCTCCGAGAAATGAGGAACCTTTTGGACCCTTTCGGTATAGCAACTGGAAATTCTGGTGGAAGCCCTGGCTGGGTACTGAATGGCCCTTAGGGTAACAACGTCACTCCCAGTGCTTCCAGGCGTTTCGCCCCTATGATAGGCAAGCAGGGGAAACCATCCATGATAACGCCTACCAAGAAACCCTGGCTAGTTATTATAGTGGTAAAGTGACGTCCAAACAAAACTCAACCAAACAACTTGCATGGCCTTTTGTTCTTATGTATCCAGCCAAAGCATGGTTGTCGTTGGGAAACATTTTGCATTTTTGCTTATTGTGTTTTAGTGGTTGAAATCCAACCACTGAACTGCTAGAATTGTACATGTTTGCTCCCCTTCCAACGTCAACCAAGTTTCGCCCATTTCGGTGACTTCCTCTTGGTGATGTTTCAAGGGCAACTTGAAGACGCTTGAATCAGGAGAGTCCTGTTTGGATTCTGAATCGATTGTTTTATTACAAAAAACAACAAGAAAAAGAAAAACGGTTGGCAAGGGAGAATCCCAACCACAAAATAAGTGCCTTCCTTGTGTCCACTGCGCATCCTTCGGCCACCGAGCCCAGTGCCCAGCGCCGGCCGCAAGGTCCTCCTGCACCCGCCGCTGCGGCGGCGGCCTCCGCACGCGCAAGCGCCGAGTGGAGGCGGACGGAACTCCAGCGCGGGATGGCCATGCGAATTGTCCAAAAGGGGAAGGTAGACTCCGAGAAGCATGGAATTCTCATATATACATATGACATATGTATTTATATATATTATGTAGAGATATATTGTGTATACCTATATGTATTTGTAGTTGTGTATATATATATAATGTTGTATGCTTACGTATGATACCACAATATAATATGTCTGTTATGTTTCTGTGCTTAGTTGTTTGTTGTTTATCTATGTATGGTGTGCCAACCACATGGCTTCTGATTCTGCGAAGGATTCCTGTTTGGAGGTTCCATGTCTTTGACTGTTTTGCGTTTGCAAGAAATGCATGGATGCATGGATGCATATATATATATATACATCCTTATATTGCCCTGGCACAGGTGCGAATGTTGGTGCAACTACATTGAATGGGGCTATGTTTGTATGTTGTTTGGCATCTACTTTGCGCCTCTGACTCCTCACATACCCTGCGACTTCTTCATACCCAAAACCCGCCTTTGGAAGGGGAACCGCAAGGGAGTGCCATGCAAATTTGGAGACACGTAGCCTTTTGGATGCAAGTTTCGATCCCTCAGACCCCTCAAAGGGCTTCCACATGTTGCACGAGGGGCTGGTTGCAACTAAAGAACGATATTTCTCACAGCCCTTCTCAACACCGCCAAAATGGTCCCCTCAAAGCTCGCTCCCTGGCCCAACAACCGCAAATATTGGATGCTTGGACCCTGTGGGTGGCTTTCTGGACTTTCTACATTTTGGGAAGACCATTTAGTGGCAAAACAACAGCCATTAGCAGACATGTTCTGCATACCGGTCTATGCCTTGGCATGGAAATTCAACCAACAGCTGGGGCCCTTGTGTTGGGACATCTCTTGCGGTCAGTATTTATATTTGACACTCTTCATGCAACAGGATCCTTATATTGGTGACTCACCATATCTAAATGTTTCTCTTGGCAGAATAGCATTATGAGGGGGAGGTATCAGGAAGCCTCAGCAGGTCTAAATAAATTTTCTTTGGGGGCGCGTTGCGTGGAGTCACCTCTGTGGAGCATTCCAAGAGGACTAACACAACACTAAACAGGGACCACCTGGCGGGAACAGGTGTGGAATCCAACAACAACACCTCCCCTGACTCCGCGAAAACCGGTTGGGAAGCTGGAGCATTTGAGTGGTAAACTTAAAAAAAGTGCGGACTTTGTTTGGCCCATCCACTTCGGGGATGAAAAAAGATCCTGTGTTTCGAGGAAGATCCTGTCTGGGCGCCATGTGGATATCGGAGAAGTGAAGTTCATACACCTGCTGGAGATGGACAGATGGAGAGAAGCGACAGGCTCACAGCACAGACATACTGTGGATGGACAAAATTCTGCACCACCTACGAAACCATGGGAAACTATTGTTTGTTGGTATTTACAGGAGAATCATCATTCCCGGGTTTCTTAGGTGGTGCAGGATTTCGTCCATCCACAGTAGCACCCATTTGATGTGTTGCACATTCCAGTTCAATGGCTTTGACTGGCCCGATTCAGATGCAAAGAACTGGGTGGTCTTTTTGGGCGGACCCTTTTGGTGGCGGTCTTTGAAGGGAAACGATGGGAAAATCGCAATTTTATGGCGTCCTCTACGTTCATCACTTTTTGAGGATACTCCTTTTGGGGTGGTTTTAAAGGGAAACCAAAAGGAAACCCACCTTTTTGTTGGGGTCCCAAAAAACAACAACCTCCAAATGACAGGGCCAAAAGAAATGACTTCCACACCTTGACTCAGGTGGAAGCCAAGAACGGTGGGTACCCCTTCTGCGGACCTCTCGAGGTGTCGGAAGCTTAATGGATTTCCAGACTCGAACAGACACCCCGCCGGAAGTTGGGGTCCCCATTGTTGTTTGGACACATCTTGCAAGGAGAAAAGGATGCCCTAAAAGCAACTCGCGCACAGATTTGTACAACAATTATTATAATATATAAATACCTGTTGGTGGACGAAATCCTGCACTACTTGGGATAGATGAAGCCCTATAAATATACTGGGATAAGCCATCCACCAACTGGTGCAGGAATTGATCCACCCACAGTATGTATGTAAACCTGAAGTCTCCGTGACCGCAAAAGATGGGGTCCGGTTACCCAACATTTTTTGCGGCGTCATGGCAACCCATGTGTGATGCGCGCCATGGTACAGTCTAGGGTTACATGTGCAAAGAAAGAAAGTTGGCTCGCTTTTGTTTGCCCACCATCATGCCAAGCCTGAGACGATCCATTGCAGCTCTAGATTTCGAGCGGAAGCAAGGGACTCATGATGTAGGTTCTTTACTTGGGGTTCCTTTTAGAAGCAACCAAATGGGGTTCCCTAAACAAAGACAAACCCCATATTATCTTCTTTCAGGTTTTGGAAGCATTCCCAGTGCTTCCAGGCGAGCAAACCATCCTCGAGGGAAGGATCTCTGTTTACCTACTGCCAGAGTCCCCCAGCAATTGGTGCCAACTTCTGCCAGCTGGTACACGAACCAAGCGTTTTATGGGTTTATCTAGGTCCCCAAGCAATTGGTGCCAACTTCTCACCCGTTTCTTTTTCGGTTGGGAGGGTTCCGAACCCTACGAAAACAGACCACAAAAAGAAAATCGGGCAGCAACTTATTCTAACCTCTCTACCGGAGGACCTAGCACTATAGCGGCAACTGGAATCGCCGGGATTGTTTGCAGAGTATTAGGTTCGGCCAGAATTACTGGTAGTCTACGTTTCATTTGGGGACATGGGGGAAACTCAGAATTTTTTCCCGCCACAAACCTAGGGGGATTCACTACTTGTCCCGTGTCTAAAGGGAAACAAGTAATTTTGACCATGGCTCATTTGAGGCCATTTTTTCAGGAATCCTTCTTTCTAGAAAACCAGCACATACTCGGAGGGTCCCTTGGTGCCTTATGTTTGCGGATTTGAGGAACCTGTAATTGACGAATCCCCTTGAACCAAACCCAACCGGTGCAATGGGATACTTGAATCGACCCTGTGGGACACACACACGCACAAAAACATCTGAGGAAACAGCAGTCTCTTGGAACAGAACGATGCTTGAACGTCCGACCCTAATTTACTGTGGTAAACGCTATGACATTGGGTACGCTCGCGAATAGAAGCTGCCCTTTTGCTCACCAAGTTCCCATTTCAAAGGGGGGCAGGCAAAATACGGAACGTGGTTGACAGGAGTTTGGGCAATTTAACATGAAGCTCCTTTACTTTGGGTGTACTTATTTCCATATCCAGAGGCTCTAAGTAGCTTGTATACGAAACCCATTCTTGAACCACTGGTTACCTACGAAGTGGCTGTCCACATTTGTGGCATCGGGTCAAGTCGTTAAGCCACCGGTCGTTTGGAATAACAGATGTGTGCCCGATCCTTCCACCGCAAATCGGCATGTGTCTAGGGTGTGCGCATACGCAGAGCTCAAATGTTAGTATAGTAGGTATACCCAGTGCTTCCGGGCGTTTGGCCACTGAAATAGGTAAGCAGGGGAAGCTTCATGTAAAACCTAGAGGAAGGAATACCTGGTGACCTACTATGGCAATTAGAAGCACTGGTAACCTGACTTCCTGAGTTCATGAACTTTAAACTTTTTAGGAAGACCATTTTAGTGGTAAATATAAGGTTTAGACTTTTTTGGGCCATCCACTCAGCCAGGGTACATATAGATTGTGTGGGCATGATGAAGGTCCTTAGGATCCCTGCGTCCCCAAAGGTGGTTTTTTGTTGCACATGGCAATTCCCCAGCGGCTCCGGAGTGCAGCAGAATTTGTTTTTCGGAAGGTTTCTGGATGGTTTTTTCGCAGGGCTCCTTAAAATAAATTCATGTTGCAACCATTTGAAACATGTGGATTTTTCTCACCAAAATAAAAGGAACCCGGCATTTACAAGTTGCAATGTTCAGGTGTATAATGTAAGGATCCCTGTTTTGGGGATGCCACATTTTTGTTGGTTCTTTTATTTGCGAGGGTACAAAAAGGCAACGCTTGAGTCTGCCCAAGGCAGAAGGCTGAATCCCAAATGACACATGGGTATGTTTTCTTCCATCTAGCGGGAATTCTCATGACACTTCAAACATGGGTCAATGACCAACCATTATTTTGGGTAATGACCCCATTTTTTGAGGGTCATGGAGACTCCAGGTAGTGGGCATTATCATGATTTTCGTGGTTTCCCCGAATGGTCATCCCATGTACCTTTAATCAACCCCCAGATATCTCCGGAATGGTGTGAACCTCTCCCATTGCACAGATGGATTCAAGCCCGTCCCAACTCAATCCTCCTGCACTTCGACCAGCGCTATCATGCCATGTGTTTTCCTCTCGCTGCAACGGAACTCAGGTTCACCTCCCATTGCATTGTAGCATCCCCTTCCCGCCTCCGCTGGTTTCCAGCTAAGGCCTGAACAGGGCTCCCGGTGCATCCCAGTTACGACTATAGTGAGGAAGCAGCCATCTTCCTTTCAGTTTTTTTAAAGGGTGGCCTACTCCCTTGGTTACCTACTACGCAGGTGCCCTCCCATCCATGGAGCCTAACATTTCGGGGTCCTGAAAGACCACCAAGTTTCTCTGGTGGCTTCTACGTTCGACAGGGTAAATGCAAAGAGTCGCTGAGAAAGCGGCTGCCTGGAGTCTCCTTCTGACCCGAAATAAAATGGGCCAATGAACAACCATTTTTTTCATAATGACCAACCAACCTCTTAAATTTGGGTCAATGACCAACCATTATTTTAGGTAATAAAAATGGGTCAATGACCAACCAACATTTTGGGTTTTCTGACCTACCAGTTTTTATTCGGGTCAGATTCGGAGACTCCACGCGTGCCGCGCTTCAGGATGGAGCCCTGCAACCAGGACCCCTGCGCGGAGGGCGACGGGGTGGAAGGCGGGGGATGCATCCGAGAGCCGAGCCGCGCGCCTTTTTTTGAGACCCCGGGGATCCATGTAGTTGGTGTTGGTTTCTAAGGGGAATGAACCACCCATCAAAGACCAGGAAGAGAGTTGGATAGCTCTAGATGGGCTTGCCTGGGATCCACTGGCATGGGTAACGAGAGGTTTCGCCATGATGTAAAACCTAGAGGTGGCGATAGATACCGAAGGGTTAGCTACTATAGTGGCGAAACGCCTGGACGCACTGCGACGGGTAGCCAGGGTTCACATGGTCCAATCGCGTGGATCCGTATGCTCTGGGAAGCTCCAGGGTTTTTGCAAAACGTCTTGCCAATAGGGATGACTGGATCTGAGGATTTCTTCAGCCAGCGCAGAAATGGGGCCGTTGAGCTTCGGATTCGAGCTGAGATGGACATCAACCAGTTTCATTTTGAGCTCGGGGTCCTTCAAAGCTGGAGGACATTTGTCCTTTAAAGCTGGAGGAGAGTTTTCGCTTTAAAATGGACCCTCTGGTGGGTTCCATGCTAGTGGTCAGGAGGGTGTACAAACCTCTCCGTGTGTGTGTGTGTGCACATTTGTATCTACGTTATATAACCGGAAATCGATTCACAGATCGTCATGATTTCGGTTCTAGAGACCAGCATCACAAAAAGAAAGTTGTCCCGTGGCTGGGGTAAAACGTTGGCTATCGCACAGTGAAGGCTGGCAACAAATCAAACTTCTTGTTCCCAGACAATCCATGCAGGTAATAATATACCAACATTTGACCCATGTGGAGGGAATATGTGCATATATACATATATACATATATATATATATATATGTATAACCTACATGAGTTGTCTGGGGTTTGGAGCTTGGTGTCATGTTGCCAGTTGCGTGTGGTTTCAGCCTAACAGACTTCTGCCTTTCGCCATAGTTTTCCCTTCAACCAGGTCTAAACCTAGGTCCTCTTCCAAGAACAGTCCGCCAGGTTGCTGTATCCGGGGTCGACATTGCAAAGCTAGTGACCATTTGGGCAGCGCCAAAAACCCTTATGAAAGGAGTTCATTGAGGGCCTCTCCTAACGAGGCCTCACGAAAGCTAAAACTCGCGCGAAAGCCCGCAAAACACGGTTTGTTAGTAGAGAGTTTTGTATACCCTATTTTCGGCACCGCTCATCTTGCTTTTCCCCTCCGGTCACATTGGATTTGCAGGGAAGCCCTTTCAGGATCCCGGCCAATGGCTTGCGATCGGTGCGAGAGATGCAGGGAATGAGGAGAAGTGGAATGACCCCAAGAAAAACCATCCCCGATTTGGTGTCCTTTTTTTTCGGGGAATCCGCAGGAAAAAAGAACAAAAAACATGTGGGTTTCCTTTATTCGAGAATCCCCCAGAAAACACCATCCCCGATTTGGTTTCTTCTTTTCTTTTTTAACGAAATCCCAAAACGATTCATTCCAACTCATTCCCTACCTCTCGCACCGATCGCAAGATGGCGGCCGGGTTTCTCCGACCCAAAACTTGAGGCCCCATTTGTCCCCATGTTTGGCTACGCGCCGTATAAAATTCGGTCAAGATGTCCTGATTTGTCTACTTGGTTGCTCAACCCACTTAGTAGGTTATAACCATGGTAAGGAAACAAACCCCAGTTGCACTCCTTGCAACCATGGTTATCACCTACTTATAAGATGGATTGAACATCCAAGTATGGTCCAGATGGGGTTTTGGGCATTGGGGGACGAGAACCAGGCTTGTGATGAAACTCAACGACCAAAACTGGTTTGGGTCGAACGTCAGTATTGGGTCCTCTTCTTTTTCCTTCGTGCAACACATTTCTACTTGGGCGTGCCTGAAGAGCCAGGGTTACGCAGCTTTCAGTCTTTAGTTTTCCATTCCCCAAGCTGCCATTTTGGGTGACATGTCTTTTAGCCACAGCTCCACTTAGATCCGGACATTTTCACGGGAGGTTTTGGTTGGGGGAGCCGGGGAGCCCGTCAAACGTGAGCAGGTGACAACTGTGAGCTCACCAATTGGGACAACTGGTCCCCTTGCACAGCCGGGGCCTCGGTAGCCCCAGGAGTTGAGCGGGTCTGGCAAGACCAGTGCTTGGCTGCGAGTGGGCAACGGATCTTTAGACTTTAAAACTTGTTGGTTGAAGTCAAGTTGGGGTTTCCACTAAACCCCGAAAAATATATATATTTTAAAAAAAAAAGAAACACTTTTTGCAGGGGGGTCAACAGCAACCAAGAGTGCTTCCAGGCAAGACACTATAGTAGGCGACCAGTTATTTTTACCTCTAGGTTTCAGATGATGGTTCCCCTAGTTACCTACCATAAGCGGCAACTGGAAGCTTTGGTTGATTCCTCAGCTCAAAGCCAAAGCACTTCCCAGTGGATCCCAGTTGCCAGTATAGTAAGTGACCCTTCGCCATTTTTCATTTGGTTTTTCAAGGGTCGCTTTGATACCTACTATGTATATATATATATATAGGTAAATGGAATCACTGGGTTTGCCAGATATGCTGGGAAGTTTGGCGCAACTTTCGAGTCGCTCCAGGGGTTCCGGGCTGACAACATCCCCAGAGCTATATAGGCATTTCGTCACAAAAGGTAGGTAATCAGTTATGGCTTCCTCTACCTGGAGTCTCCTTCTGACCCTCAAAAAATGGTTGGTCATTACCCAAAATCGTGGTTGGTCATTGACCCATTTTTATTTCGAGACTCCGGGTAGTTGTCTTTTGTTTTTGTATCATGGTTGGACACCCCCTGCAAGCCTACCTTTTGTGAAATGCCTGGAAGCCCTGGGATCTGTTTTTGTGGGAAGCTTTGGGAAGGGAGACCAAGGAGAAACCGGAAACCCAGCCCTTGTCCAGGTGCTCCCCTGCGTGTCAAGTGGCTCCTGGAAAGCTGGGCCTCCCACATAACATGGAACATGTTTGTAGAGCCTCTGGGCGGGGAACGTATCTACCCAGAGTCTGACCACCTGGAGTCTCCATCTGACCCTTAAAAAATGGTTGGTCAGAAAACCCAAAATAATGATTGGTTATTGACCCATTTTTAAAAGGTCATGGAGACTCCAGGCACTCAAATGGTTGGTCATCACCAACACGAAAGGGGTCGTGGCAAGCCCACGTTTGCTTCGGGTCCTGACCGGAGACTCTTTTCCTGTAAGGGACCTGGGGGCGCCGGTGGTGTTCCTTTCAGCGTTTCATGTCGGGTCGCTCTGGACATTTTCGCAGATGGCATTTCCAAGCACAGATGCGTATGCATCCCTGTGCTTCCGGGCAATTCCCCGTGCATGGTAAAACCAAGAGGTAGCCGTACCGAAGGGTTACCTACAAGAGTGGCGAAACGTCTGGAAGCACTGGGCATGTTATACTGGGGATATGTGACGGATATGTGCATGTGCTGAAGCCTTTGCCTTGGTCAAAGTGAGCTGATAACTGCACCAGTTGCCGCGGCCATGAGAGATCTGGGGAAAATACACCCATAGATTCTGAAGAAACGTGCTATCAGAACAAGACCAGCAAGGGTGTTTGTGTGTGTGTGTGTGGGTGGGTTGGTGGGTGGGTGGGTGGGAGGGTGGGTAGGTGTTTTGCGTGTTTGTTTGCGTGTGCGTGTTGAGGGTCCCACTTGGACCAGGATGCGTGTTTGGTACGGGGTTACTATGCTCACCACCCATGCCAGGGATCATTCCGAGTTGTTACAGGGGTTCGTGCGCTTCCTCACGGCAGTGGACAAGTAGGCCAAAAGGGGGATGCCTATGAACGTGTTCTCCATCCATTCCTACCCACCTAAATGACGAGGCGTTCATGGTTTGGTCCGTAGGGAATGTTTAGGGCTGAGTTTCGGGTAGGTTGGACACCTGGGGTAGGCTTTGGTGGGGCGAAGGCTTGAGGGTTGGTTTAGGCTGAGGTTTGGGTTGTGGGTAGGTTGAGGGGTAGGTCACCAGCAGGAAAATCTATGGCTAGGTCGTAGTGCCCTTTTACCTTTTTTTGGTGGAGGGTTATTCACTAAAATAGACTACAGAAAAATGGCTACCCTTATTCTAACCTCTAGCACCTAGATGGGCATTGTTCCCTGTCTGACATTTCTGAGCTAATGAGCACCCTTGCCGGGATTTGGTCGACTCGGGCCAACTAACAAGCGCAGTGTAAAGTACAGACGTGCGGAATTTACAGCGGGGTTGAAAGGGAGTTCCATCATGCTCAACCCCCCTTTGGCCCGAAATTTTGGTGTTAAGTAGCCATTTTGTCATTGTCCCACACGAAACCCACATGATGATGTTTCATGAGGGTATGGCTCAAAAAACCGGTACCAAAATGGAACCCTGGTAACTGGAAACATGGACCAAAACCTGCGTAACCCTAGCTCTTTAATTTCGAGCCACTGCCATGAGGTTCCCTATTTAGGGCCCAGTTCTCTTTGTTCGATGTCCGACTTTCCGCCCAGGAATCCAACATTCAGTACCGCAACCGGCAGATCGCCAAGGCAGGGAAGGCGTTCAATCGTTCCCGGGGATTCAAGTTCTGTCCATGCGTACTCAAGGTCCCAAAAGGTTAAGGTTTGAATACCCTGATCCTTTGGAGTAAAAAGACATACCAGGAGTGTCCATGACCCTTAAACTTTAGAGCCTCCGGCTCAGTCCGCCGACATTGTCCTCTCCCTTTTCTCCTTCTTCCTCTCTTCCTTGTCTCCCTTGTGTGTTCTGTCGTCCTCTCTCCCTCCCTCCGCTCCCATCCTCCCCATCCCCCCAAGCCTCTCTCTCCCCACTCTCCCTCTCTCGTATGTATGCATGCATGTACATATGTATGTATGTATGTATGTATGTATGTATGTATGTATGTATGTATGTATGTATGTATGTATGTATGTATGTATGTATGTATGTATGTATGTATGTATGTATGTATGTATGTATGTATGTATGTATGTATGTATGTATGTATGTATGTATGTATGTATGTATGTATGTATGTATGTATGTATGTATGTATGTATGTATGTATGTATGTATGTATGTATGTATGTATGTATGTATGTAATGTATGTATGTATGTATGTATGTATGTATGTATGTATGTATGTATGTATGTATGTATGTATGTATGTATGTATGTAATGTATGTATGTATGTATGTATGTATGTATGTATGTATGTATGTATGTATGTATGTATGTATGTATGTATGTATGTATGTATGTATGTATGTATGTATGTATGTATGTATGTATGTATGTATGTATGTATGTATGTATGTATGTATGTATGTATGTATGTATGTATGTATGTATGTATGTATGTATGTATGTATGTATGTATGTATGTATGTATGTATGTATGTATGTATGTATGTATGTATGTATGTATGTATGTATGTATGTATGTATGTATGTATGTATGTATGTATGTATGTATGTATGTATGTATGTATGTATGTATGTATGTATGTATGTATGTATGTATGTATGTATGTATGTATGTATGTAATGTATGTATGTATGTATGTATGTATGTATGTATGTATGTATGTATGTATGTATGTATGTATGTATGTATGTATGTATGTATGTATGTATGTATGTATGTATGTATGTATGTATGTATGTATGTATGTATGTATGTATGTATGTATGTATGTATGTATGTATGTATGTATGTATGTATGTATGTATGTATGTATGTATGTATGTATGTATGTATGTATGTATGTATGTATGTATGTATGTATGTATGTATGTATGTATGTATGTATGTATGTGTATGTATGTATGTATGTATGTATGTATGTATGTATGTATGTATGTATGTATGTATGTATGTATGTATGTATGTATGTATGTATGTATGTATGTATGTATGTATGTGTATGTATGTATGTATGTATGTATGTATGTATGTATGTATGTAATGTATGTATGTATGTATGTATGTATGTATGTATGTATGTATGTATGTATGTATGTATGTATGTATGTATGTATGTATGTATGTATGTATGTATGTATGTATGTATGTATGTATGTATGTATGTATGTATGTATGTATGTATGTATGTATGTATGTATGTATGTATGTATGTATGTATGTATGTATGTATGTATGTATGTATGTATGTATGTATGTATGTATGTATGTATGTATGTATGTATGTATGTATGTATGTATGTATGTATGTATGTATGTATGTATGTATGTATGTATGTATGTATGTATGTATGTATGTATGTATGTATGTATGTATGTATGTATGTATGTATGTATGTATGTATGTATGTATGTATGTATGTATGTATGTATGTATGTATGTATGTATGTATGTAAATGTATGTATGTAAATGTATGTATGTATGTATATGTATGTATGTATGTATGTATGTATGTATGTATGTATGTATGTATGTATGTATGTATGTATGTATGTATGTATGTATGTATGTATGTATGTAATGTATGTATGTATGTATGTATGTATGTATGTATGTATGTATGTATGTATGTATGTATGTATGTATGTATGTATGTATGTATGTATGTATGTATGTATGTATGTATGTATGTATCCTTGCACTTCCCCTTTGCTCCCCAGTATTTCCCGCAAAAAAAACACGGTTTTTCCAGCGTTTTCGCAAAGAGGACGTCCAAAAACATTGAGTTTTTCCAGATTTTCGGCAAAAGGATGCAGGAAGCCCAAGCCAGCAAAAAAGCCGGCAGGGGGAATCGAGCCTGGGACCCCTGTTTTGCGACACCGGCTCCCCGAAGACTACGTTTAGTGGAACGTCATCAAATTGCCGCGCGGTACGTGGGGGACCCCCCCCCCTCCCCCCCAAAAACCTACGTAATAGACGTCGGGCGGGGGGGGGTTAGGGGGGGGGTTATCCTCTATCCTCTAGTAAGTATCCGACACGCCGAGCAATGTCGGCGGACAATGGGTCAATGACCCCATTGTTTTGGGTAATGCCCCCATTTTGGTTAGGGTCACGCTCCAGGTACGGGTTGATATCTAGGTCCTTTGAGCCAGTGAGAAATAGGCTTGGCGTGTCAAGCTTTGATTCGGATTTCGCTTTGAGTTGAGTGCCGACGGCACGTTGCCTGAAATGCGGCGAAAGCGATACTCTGCCCACCTTTCACCGCCTGGGACTTGTCCTTGGATTTAGAAAATTAGTGTTCGTGTGGAGTTTTGTTGTGCCCACAGGTGTCCTTTTTGGTTGTTGGGTCGAAAAATAGATGGGTTCCCCTGGCTCACCTGGTGGTTTAATCATCTACCAGGGCCATCTATTTCCCCTAAAAGGACACCTATGGTTGTACTCTTTAATTAATCCGCTCTGCCATAGCCATGTCCAAGTTGCCAGACCCTTTCAGTCTTTCTGGCTGCGACTCAACAAGTTCAAAACCGGGATGTTCAACTTGCGGCCCTCGCTAGAAATGAGCACTATGCATCCACTTGGGTGTTGTTTTGGCAACTGGCAAGTAAGACAAGAGCCTTACTAGGTCAGGCTCTTGTCTTACTTGCTTCCATTTGATTAAGAATCTAAGAAGATCTTGTATTTTCCCCTGTTGAGATTAAAGGAAATCTATCACTACTGAAATATTGTTTTTTTCCAGGGGACTTAAGCAAATGGAGGCTTGCTAGTTGCCATGCAGTGTTGGGCCAAAACTTTTTTGAACAACCTCCTGTGATGTTCTGTTCAAAGGGAAGCCAGCCTTCACGCGAGACTCTGCTTTCGGAGTCGCTGAAAGCGCGTCCTTGTCTTTCCATGTGACCCATGTGAACTAACCCTGAAAAGAGCTCCGCAAACAAACCCTTCACCCCTTCATCTCACGCCTTCGGTCAAATGCCTCGCGAAAAAGCTCCACCTTTGCCTCAAAGAGAGAAAGAGAGTGTCCAAGTCGCCAAACACAGATTCCTCAAATCCGGAAATATACAGGTGAGTCGCCGTTTGAAGACTACTAAGCTAATCAAATGTGAAATTACCCTCGACCTTTCGGCTATGTTAAGATCACCCCAGATAAGGTACGTGGACAGACTTGGACCCTTTAGGTCTCCGGACCCATAACGATTTTCGTGTCAGGACGCCAAGTTGGGCGGCGTGCCCTGTGCCGGGCTCAGCTCGGAGCGCCGTGCCGCGGGTGAGATGGGTTCAGCCCTCGTCCAGTTTCGCCAAGGCCCAAAACGGATGCACCCGAGCTCTGTGTTTCTCATGTTTTGGGGTCCCATTTTTAGGCATGGCTCCAAGGACCCCTGTGTTTCCCATGGTTTGGGGTCCCATTTGTTGTCGTGGGTTGAAGGATTTCTTGGTTTCCCCTGTTTGGTCCATGTTAGTCATGGCCAGAAGCTGATCACCTTGTATATTTGGTCCTGTTCCATGAATGAACTTTATCCTGGATTTTCTGGAAAGAAGAGTCCTTGGAAAGAATGGCCCTTAGAGTCTTCACGAGTTTGTAGTTGCCCTGGGTGAGCTCACTCGGGGGGTGACCGGAAGCCATGATGATGATACCCTTACTTGCAAATCCTTTTTCTGGTTTTGGACACTTTCTAAAGTTTGCAGATAATAATATGCAAGCCGGTGTGTGAATAGTGGAAGAGGTGGCTTAATCAGAGTGGCCAAGTGCAGGGCCCCCGCTTTATGCAGCGGTCGTGAGAGTTGAGAAGAACATCAACTCGTGTCGTCAATGATTTTCTGGAGTAGCTGCTTGACCCCACATGGTTTGGCCTCCTTTGAAATGGCGTCCGCAGGGAGGAAACAACAAGCCAACCATTTTGTTTTGTTGGTTTGCTGTCTTGAGGATACCCTTTTCACACCATTTTGGTGCTTTTTGGTTTGCTGTTTTTGAGGGTCCCCTTTTTAAGCACCACGGGCTACCTAGGACATCCTCAAAGGGCCGTTGTGTGGGTATAAGTACAACACATGTTGTGGTTGTGGCAAAGTGGTGGTTTTGGGTTGCCACGTTCTGAGATACCAAGGACCGGGATGGGAACCTGACTTTGCGCAGAAAGGGGCCTATATCCTACAACCACCATGATTGATGCCCCACAAATTGGATGAGTTTCCTTCAGCTTACCTTCACAACACAAAAGAACAAGGGTACCTGACATGGAGGCCTGGCATGGAGTTTGACAGAGCCCGGAGATCCTTTCACGGAAACAGTGTTTTTGTCAAAGGCCTCCTCTTTGGTTCAATGTAATTTGAAAGGAGGGTAATTACCAGCTCCAAACAAGATCGCAGCCCGTTGCCCGCATGCCTTTGGATTTCTGCTAGGCGAAGATGGCTTGCGGATGGTTCGAGAGTGCACTTCTGCCGGCAGCCCCAGCATCGATATCCGAAAGAACAGTAACCCTAGCTGGACTTGCATGAGCATTTTTTCTTCGTCCAATCCTGCTGACCTTTCAGTTTTGATCATGTCGGCTCGTCCTGCTGGTTGATGCTGTCACTTCCTGGGTGGTTGGAAAATCATGGGAAGATGCCGTTGTTGATGCTTGAAAATCATTTCCTGGAAAATCATTTCCTGGTTGTTGTTGATGCCGTCCTATTTGGGAAGATCACGTGATCGTGGCGAAGAAAAGCTCGGACGCTTTCGCGCAATCCAGCTGCTGGCGAAGAAATTCAATTGGAGCCAAGGGACCACAAGTGAAAGTTTTGAGACCTGGAGTCTCCAAATCTGACCCGAAGAAAAAGTGGTTGGGCACTACCCGATAAAGAATGGTTGGTCTTTGACCCCATTTTGATGTCGGGTCAGATCCGGAGACTCCAGGTACTTATCCACTAAGGGGCAACCCCATTTGGGTGGCCGAGACAAAAATTGTCGGTGGCCACGCCCATCTTGGGCGGCATTTCTTTTTAGGGATGTGCCTGGCTTGGGCTCGCTTGATGAGCAGGCTCTGGATCCCGCTCGATTTGTCTGGGTCCGAACAGGGTATTTTATAAAGCTGGTTTAGTGAAACGGCGTACAGACAGTGGCATCCTAAAACCCATCCTCCCATGACAAGAATCTGTATACTCGATCAGGGGAACCCCTTTACTTCGCTTTGTGGAACTTCTTGGCAGCTTTAATGGAAGCCACCTGTGAATGGCAACTTTCGAAGGAAAACTACGAAGACCGTCAACAGATTCCTCCAAACGCGAAAATGTAAGGTACCTTTTTGGGACCGTTCAACCTAGAAGGGGATGACTCAACTGAAAGTGATTTCTCACATCAAGACATCACGACCCATCGACCCACAATTACTGTGGACAAAATCCTACACCAGGTGGCGTACCCCTGTATTCTCGCTCACATCCTGCTGCGTCGGCAGGTGAAACCACTCCACGAGGTGTCATTCCCTTGCTTTATAGCAGCAAGTATTGTACCTCACTTGCCCAAAGCCAACCTTTGACCTTTTGGTTTTTCCAGGTTGGTCAATTTTGAGTATAGGTCCCAAAAGATTAACCGTATATGTGTTGGGTCCTTTGGGTGAGTACAGTGCACTTTGATTCATTGTCTGACTTATCGTGGTGATGTAGTATTTCGTCAATCCTGCCTGACCAGCAAGTCAGCTTTTTGTTGGTTCCCGGTCGGATCCGTTTGGGTAAGATTTCACTCCTATTCACTCCCTGAGTTCATGGACTTCATACTTATTGGAAAGACCAATTTAGCGGTAAACCAGCAGTTCAGACTTTGTTTGGCACCCAAAAAGGGTGGAGTTGGTTTCCCCTGAGTACCATCCACAAGCGATCCCGTTGAAAGACACCCATTTTACCCCAATCAGCTTCGAGGTTCATGGGCGCTCAAGTTTTTGTTAAAGCGCCAGCCGCAAACCGCAGGTCGTCTTTGGTTCCTTTGGGCCCAGGGGCCATGGTACCTGGAGTCTCCGAATCTGACCCGAATCAAAAATGGTTGGTCAGAACACCCAAAGTCATGGGGGCACTGACCCATTTTTGATTCGGGTCAGAAGGAGACTCCAGGCACATCTTTTCTTTGGCGCATTTTGCCAAGGGATGTTGGGACTGAATAACTTTTTGCCAACTAATAGGGTTTTCCGTATTAAACCACTAAAAGTCACTAAAAGTTATTCACTTTTAGCAGGGGAGCAGAAAGCCACCAAGTTTTTGAGCCACAGCCAAATCTGCGGCGTCGACTTGTTGGACCGCCGAAACCGAGGCGGTGGACTGTGTGGTCTCTCCCTGGACGCCGGGGAGCTCCGGGTGCGGTGTTTGGTCACCCAGCTAGGTGCCTTTCTTTTTGGGGGAGGCCCTACTAAAATAGACTACGGGGAAAACAACACACAAAACAAGTTGAGCTTGGTGCCTGTCTTTTTTTACACCGTCTTTTTTGGTTGGGAGGGTTCCCCCACTAAAATTGACTACACAAAAGAAGGGTGCCCTTATTCTAACCTGAGGACCTAGTTGGGGTCTCAGCCATCCCCACCCCCATACAGATGGAATTTGGGAGGCCTGCCATCATTTACAATGTTTAAGAGTTCGCCAGAGACTCGATCCAGGCTCCATGTTTAAATTGCAAGCGTCACTCAGTTCCTCAGTTCCCGGACTTTGTACTTGTTGGGAAGATAATGTTGGGTTGTAAAATAAGAACTGTCCGTGACTTGTTTTTTGCCACTCGATCGGAGCGTCGTTCCTGGACGTTACCTGGAGTCCATGACCCTTAAAACATGGGGTCATTACCCAACATAATGGGGTCATTGAACCATTTTTGAACGGTCATGGAGACTCCAGGTATGTCATGGATTTCCGACCATATGAAGTTGCAAATGGGGTCATTACCCAAAATAATGGTTGGTCATTGTCCCATTTTTATTTCGGGTCAGAAGGAGACTCCAGGTGGATCCATTTGATATCGCTCGCCCCGAGGCCTTGGGACCGGTGCACGCGGACCTGCGGCGGCGGCCAGACCTTCCGCCACCGCCAGGCGAGGCGGCGTGACCGAACGCCGGCACATGGAGGTATGGTAAATGGTAGAAGGAGACCTGGAGTCTCCATGAACGTGTTGAAATGCATTATATATATATATATAACCTAGGGGGAAGTTCTTACTTCCTAGCGTGCCTGGACCCTTACCCCTACAACTAGGAGATCACCTCAGTTTGTGGCAATAATTCTTAGAAGTTTTGGGCAGCTGGAGTCTCCAGCCTTTAAGCATGGGTGGTCATGTCCCAAACGCAAGGGGTGAACCCATGCTTAAAGGGTCAGAAGCAGACTCCGGGTCCAAAGCAGATCGGCCTTTTGACCATTTGTTTTTCACTTGTCTATGCCCACAGGTGAACCTCTAACAGCATTAGGACCCAACGGCAAGTGAGAAAGGGCGGTTGAACGCATCTTGAGACAAGCCACCATCTTGGGTCTCCAACACGATGTTCTATTTTTTGCGTAGACGGAATATAAAACATGAGTCTTAAATACTTGCCCCACCATGAAGCAGAATCCTGGATTGCCCATTTGTAGCTCGATATTTGCCGCGCCTGCTTGACCACCAAACCACCAGCACTGGGCTCCAAACCCACTAATTGCAGGGAAGCTGAAGAGCACGACCTCGTCACGCCGAAGGTTCCTCAGCCGGATCCTCTGTATGGAGAAGCCCGAAACCAGCTACGAGTCCCGATAGTTAACTCAGTACCAAACCTGGTGGCATTCTCCGTGGAGAAACCGAAACCCATGGAAGCCAAACCTGAGGGTGGCATAAATCCCTCAGAAGTTCGCCCAAAGAACGGGTCCCCAAACAGATCCCACAACTCCAGGGGTTGGATTCCGTGTCCATTCTTTTCAACCATCGTTCTTTCAACAAACCGGCCGATTTCCCTGGGCTTCTAACCGGAAGTTTTCTAGAAAGAAAGATCCCTGGATCCCTGGGTTAAGAATGGAAATGGAAATGGTAGCCCTAGAACTCAGGGGTTTCAGGGCTCAGGGGTTTTGGTGTCGGCTTTGGGCCTTCTTGTCCGCGAGGTGACACGGAACCCTCGCTTTGGAGGCGCGCTCCCGAGGGCGTTTCGGGAGATGGACGTTCGGATTTCGGAAGGGCCTAACAGGGGCAGCACAAATACCTGCTGACCCTTCCAAAATGAGTCCCGTGACCTCTCATTTTTGGGTAGTGACCTCATGTTTTCGAAGGGTCAGAGCGAAAGAGGTCACTCCTACAATCATGAGGAAATGTGATTTCAGAGTACCCCACAGCCTTCCTTAGATGTGGCAGGGAAAAACCACTGAGACACCCCCCGGTATGGCAGATTCCCATGCTTTCCAACCATCGTTCTTTTCAACAAGCAGGGATGGGGGGGTGAGCAGGGTTGGGTATGACAAGCTCAACCACCACTAGCGGCTTGTTTTCAGACACAACCCCATTCTTGCTTATTTAAGCCCTGGTAGACGGGGGCTGGCCAAATGACGCCAAAGGTATTGAACAATATTCAATATGCGTGTTGCGGGCTGGACGGTCTGGGACCTTTTGAGGGCAGGAATGCTGTTGGGGCAGTGCACGTTGAGGGAGTCACGAGCTTGTGAATGGGCTGTTTGTTGGTGGAAGCGTCCGTAGCAAGTGAACCCTTGCATACCGATTACTCAAACGGGCAGGTCCCTTGCGCGTGCACGTGACCATGGTCGTCGGACGGCTTGACATAGGAATCCTCACGTGTCCCACTGGGGATCCGGACTCCCTTTCTAAGGATGTATTGCATATTGTGAAAGGTGCCAAATGACCCCTTTATTGTGGGTACTGACCAACCATTCTTAAGGGTCAGTCAGAGGACAAAAGGCTCCATTGATACGCGGCGTGAAAGGGTCAAATAATATGCTGGGTTCAATCATTGCTGACATGTTGCTCTTATGATCATGAGTTACCCAGTGATTCCAGTATGTAATCTGGGTTTGTTGCCTCTAGGTTTTACATGATGGGAAGCCGTGCTTGCCAACCATCGTGGCTTGCCCGACCGCACTGGCTTAAAATTCATTTGTTGTTTCGTACCCCACCTGATTCAAAACATCGAGGCTCCAGTAGATCCGCAGACCCTCTAACACCTTGGGTGAATTTGGCCGCCTAGCTTTGGCCGTCAGAAGACGCGAGACTCCGTGGCTTGATGTTCATGTGTTTGGCATAGCGCAGCTTTAATTGTTCAAGAGCTCTTGGGCAACCTTTTGACCATTTAACATTTCCCCGTTTTGGTAACCATTTTTTGTCGATGTCCCAGTCAGGGTGATCACCTTTCATTTCTGGGTCCATTTCGTGGGCAACTTCAACAAGGGGATGGTTGGATATGTTTCTTTTCCCACCCCTTTGATACCCGGGTGTGTTGCACGTTAAGATTGAATTTACATGGTCCATTCGGGAGGACAGCAAAAGCCTCTGCACATGTTTCACCAGGGGAGACTCGAATTGTCCCGTGTCTAGTAGGACAGCCAAATATATTGATCCGATCCCATCGGAACTTGGAACTTGGAAGCTGTTCAAGATGTAGGCTCTTTTTCAAATCACAGCTGTCTGAATTCCGTATTTTTGGAAAGAGGGCGACCTAGGCGTGTCTGGGTATATTGAAGAATGCGCCTTCTCCGAAGACACATCCATGTCAGCTCAGGAGTCGTGAATACTTGGCCAAGCCCACATCTGACAAACCGATGGCAAATATCATGTTATTTCATGCTGCGAATTATCGGGCAAAAGAAAACCACAACCTCATTCGGATCTTTCTGGATTTCTTGCAAGCGGTTGAACCCGGGAGCGCCACCGTCTGTCGACCGTTCGTTTTGGGTTCGGGGACCGGGCCGCAGGCAAGCCCTGCCTGGAGCAGCTGATCCAAACCACAGGCCGGACCGTTCCCGGAGTCTCCATGACCCTTTAAAAATGGGTCAATGACCCAAACAAAAAGGGGTCGCATGGGTCCCATGGGTGTATAACAAGTTCACCTGGAGTCTCCATGACCCTTAAAAAATGGGTCAATGACCCAAACAAAAAGGGGTCGCATGGGTCCCATGGGTGTATAACAAGTTTACCTGGAGTCTCCATGACCCTTTAAAAATGGGTCAATGACCCAAACAAAAAGGGGTCGCATGGGTCCCATGGGTGTATAACAAGTTCACCTGGAGTCTCCATGACCCTTAAAAAATGGGTCAATGACCCAAACAAAAAGGGGTCGCATGGGTCCCTTGGGTGTATAACAAGTTCACCTGGAGTCTCCATGACCCTTTAAAAATGGGTCAATGACCCAAACAAAAAGGGGTCGCATGGGTCCCATGGGTGTATAACAAGTTCACCTGGAGTCTCCATGACCCTTTAAAAATGGGTCAATGACCCACCATTATTTTGAGGGTAATGACCAACCCATTTTTCAAGGGTCAGAAGGAGACGCCAGGTATGTCGATATCAAGTTGCAAGAGGGGATCTCTGAAAAACCCGGCGGGTTTTTGGTTTCCCTTCTTTTTTTGTTTCTCTCTTTTTTTGGTGTTCCTTTTTTTTCCCTCCTTTTCCGGGCCCTTGGCCGAAAGAACGGGGCAAGAAGTTGAGACGGCCAGGGGGCCCCGGAAGTTGGAGCCTGGAAATTTTTGGGGCTGCGTGTGTCCTTTTCGCGGGGCACATTCGACATCTGTGAAAAGTGTCCACTGGAAGCGCTGGGAAAGGCCTTGATTTTACGTGGCCCTTGCAGCACTCCCAGGCAATCCATGTAAATGACAAGTACCCGGAGTCTCCATGACCCGAAATAAAGATGGGTCAATGATCAACCATGATTTTGGGTAATGACCAACCATTTTTTAGGGTCAGAAGGATATTTTTAGGTTGTTTCGAGGGCATTTGGCGCCATTGGCCGTGCCAAGCCATGTGCCCACCTTCAAGGGGTTCCCCAATTCCATTTTTCCCAGTCTTCTCTTAAAAAAAGGGAAATTGCACCACCTGAATGGATCTCCAGGTCACCCCTTCCCTCAATTCCATTAAGGGGGTGGAGACAAAGACAATTCCTTCCAAAGGGGTACGTGCCCCAAAAAAGCTCACTCTGCAACGTTTCTAGCCTACTAATTTGCCTGGCTACCTCTAGGTTTTACATCATGATGTCCCCTTGGTACCTACTATAGTGGTAACTGGAAGCACTGGGAGGGAACCCTTGATTCGGCTTAAGTCTGAGACTGCTCGTTGCTGTCCTTTGGTCTTTCAGGCTGCAATGACGACGCCTGCAATTTAGAGGATGCGCAGGCGCCTTCGGGACATTTGGGGACGCAACCAGGGCGTGGTCCCCGAATCCCTGGTTGGCTCATTTTGAAGGGAATCCGCCACTGATCGAATCACAATAATTCCCTATGAACAGATTGCCAGGTACCTCCAGATTGAAGGGAGCATCACGTAGTTGTCAGCCTTCATCTATAATCAACCGCCACCATTGCTGGTAGTCTAGGCTTTTTTGGGGGGCCCACGAGGCAGGGGGGCGATTTGGCTATGAAGTTCAAGACCATGAATCCCCACCAAAACGCTGTCCACCAATGGGTGGCAATGTATCAACTATGGGCAGACTGCATTTAATGGACAAGGAACACATTAGAACTTTCATCTCTGGGAGGACACAATCAGATCTATGGTTGCCTAGAATCACTATGGGGATTGGACTTCAATCGCCGCCGTGAAGGGTACGCACTCTATTCTTTCCTGAGGTTTGCGGGACGTCCTCTGTCAAACAAATAGGCGGGAGAAGCCTGTGAGGTTTTTTTGTGGGCCACTGGAGGCGAACACAGGAATAACAACATGTCTCTGTGTTTTGAGTGTGCTTACAACTAACCGATCTGGGGTGGTGTAGTTAGGAAAAGCAACGGGAACACTTCCAATATTAGGGGCCTTCCATTTCAAGACACGGCCACGTTGCCTACAAGTGACATGTTTCTCCCAGTACACTTCAACAACCTGTTTTTGGATCTGCTGGGGCAAAGCAACAAGTGCTACCGAGTGGGGTGCAGCA